TGCAGGCTACTAAGGCCAGTGCCCACCTCTACTTCTGGTTGCTTTAGCTCTGCTTCCTGATCCAGCCATCCTGTGAGGATTCTACCCATGTTCCCGCTGCCATAAAACCACTGCCCCATGCCTCCCCTGCCATTATGGACTGAGACTGACACAATGAACCTAAATAAATCACTCCTCTCTTAAGTGTCTTCCGCCAAGCATTTGGACCAGGGAAGCAACTAACTAATGGAGTGAAGTTGCCTCTGACTTAGCTCAGCTCCAGGCAAGACGCATCAGTCAATCCACACTGGCACTAGTGGCCCAACCTCTGTAAAGCATGACATAAAGAAGCACTGCCAAGAAGATGTCAGCTCCTCTTGCTTATAGGCACAACCAGAAGGTGCTACTAAGCTGTGTCCGGTGAGGGGCACCTAAGCTTGACCTTCCAACAGTCACAGCCCTCTCACCACAGATATCCTACCACCAGGGTACAGGGATCCTGACTGGGAATCTTAGGGACATACAGGGCCAGACAGTGTGACCTCCCGCCTTTCTCAATACCACCCAGACACACAATTCTGAATGGTCCTCTCTGAGGCAACACTGCAGGGACTTTGGAGTTTGACAAGCCTGGGTTTGCATCTTGACTACATGGCACTTTGCCCTCTCTAAGCCTTAATTTCATCGTCTATAAAGTGGAGGAGATAACAGGGTGAGTATTAAGCAAGCTAATGCTTCCAAAGCCTCATGCACAAGTCTCAGTCAATGCTGCTGTTACCATTACAGTTGAACATCCCTAACCTCTAAGTTCGATGTGCTCTAACATCTGAAACTCTTTGAGCATGGACATGATGGCACAGTGGGAAATCTCCCATCAAAAAACATGGCTTCATGCACAACACTAATAAGAATGTATTCTGCAAATAGCTGGGTGTGGTGGCATGTGTATGTAATCCCTGCTACTTGGCAGATAGAAGAAGGGTCACTAGAGCCCATGAGTTATAGGCCAGCCTAGGCATCATAGCAAGTCCTGCTCCAGAATAATAAAAAGTATTCTGCAAGCTTGCCTTCTGGCTACATGTCCAAGGTACATATGATGTGTATTTGGTGTTCAAACTTGAGGTCTCCCTTCTCATTATGTAAATGCAAAAATATCTGAAAAAGCCAGAATTGAAGTATTTCCAACCCAAATCACCCAGCTGGCATTTTTGATAGTATCTGCTTAAATAAGGATGAAGCACCTACCTTGAAGGTGAAACAGAAAACCCACAAACATGTCTGGCACAGAATAGGTTCTTAATAACTTTTATTCTTGCCTTTTTGCTGCCGTCTCCCACCCTAAGTAGGCAGAGATACATGTCCGTGATTTAGGAAGCTGGAGAAAGGAGGGAGAGCAGAGCCAATCCCACATGGTGAATCTGAAAGACAAGAAACAGGGTATGCTGGCCAAGACAGTAGCTCGAGCCTGATGTTTTCTAAGAGTTGTGCTGTGGTGTGGAGTTCATTGGCTACTGTCGGGCTTTAACTGGCAGAGCAAAATGCCTGCTTCTGCTAAATAGTACAGAGTACCCGCTATTACACACAGAGGTTTAGGGAGAGCTCTGCATTTTCCCCAACAGGCATGATTGTGTGTGTGGCGGGGGGAATGACCAGAAGAGAGGGTGACAGCAGGGGGCCTTGTCTCTAGCTTTAAACAAAAAAGAAAAAAAAGAAAAAAAATACATTCAATAAACGGTAAAATTATTTAAATAAGCAATCCTGAGGAAAAATATGGAAGCCAATTTTATTCATAAAACAACTGATTTACAGCATTCTAGCTAAGAGCAGCTTTTAACTCAAGCCTCTGAGACCCTATTTATTATTCAGTAAAATATTCAAGATTAATAAAGGTATCTTTAATGCTAATATGGCAGCAAGAGCTAATATATGTAAAATAATTATTATGAAAAGTGTTATCAATATTTGGGGGAAGTAATGCACATGCATAATGAATGAATTTTGCCCCTGGGTTTCAGCTTCTATCTTGGCCTGATTTTGCATGGAGAAATTCTGCATTATAATGAAAGGAGAAATGATCACACATTAGAACTGTGAGCTTTTCATCACTGCTCAGAAGGATCTTAAAACTGTCAGCCAAACAGGAATATATATATACACATATCTATCAATATATAATATATATATATATATATATATATATATTCCATACAAGCGTTCATATGGCATATGGTAAAACTGATAGTTCTCTGAGTGGTAGAAAATATGTGAACACACACACACACACACACACACACACACACTGCTTGTAAAATGAAATAATCAACCTTGAAGAACTAAACTTTTTAAAGTAGACAAATATCACAACAAGGCAATCAACTTTCAGGCCAAGGAAGCCCTGCTCAAATTAGCTTTTGGGTCCCTAAAGGTAAGGTAACCATGTATTTCTCAAGTGGCATAGACAAGCAAATTCAATAAGGAACAATTCTTTATTTTTTAAAGTAACTTCTTTTAGATTTATTTTATATGTATGTGTGTGTACCTGAGTGTACATCTGTGTAACATATGTGTGCATGAGCCTGAGGAAGTCAGAAGAGAGCGTCAGATCCATGGAACTGTAGTTACAGCCATTTGTGAGCCCCCAGGTCAGTTTTGCTCACTGTACCTGTGTCTTCTCCAAGGGTAATAAGTGCTCTAACCACTTAGCAATCTTTCTAGCCCTACAAGGAGTGATTCTTTTTTGTTGTTGTTGTTGTTTTGCGAGACAGGGTTTCTCTGTGGCTTTGGAGGCTGTCCTGGAACTACCTCTTGTAGACCAGGTTGGTCTCGAACTCACAGAGAGGGATTAAAGGCGTGCACCACAACCGCCTGGATATGGATGGATGGATATATATATATATATATAAAGCTGGGTGCAGTGAGTGAAGTCTGTAACCATAGCACCAGAGTACAGTGACCAGAAAATCCCAGGGGATCAATGGCTAGCCAGCATAGTGGTCATGGGAGCTCCAAATTCAGTCAGAGACCTGGTCTCAAAGAACAAAATGGAGAAACAGTTGAGGAAAAAGGAAAATATCCCAGTGTCAATATCTGACCTTCACATGTACCCACATATATGCACACACACACACACACACACGCACACGCACACGCACACGCACACGCACACGCACACACACACACACACACACTCACACACCAAAACACATGCATCTGTATATATATGATGTACCTACATACATACAAACATACATATAAATAATAAAAATTAAATTTCCAAACTTAAAAGACTGGCCCCATCTTTCCAGAGTTTTGTAGTAAAAATTCCTAATTCTGTGCATGCTAAATGTCTCATCAGGTAAAGGCACATGCTAAAAAAGTCTGATGACCTGAGTTCAGTCCCCAGAACCCACATAATGGTGGAAGAAGAGAAATGAGTTCATGAAAGTTGTCTTCTGATCTCCACATGTACACATGGCATGTGAGCCTGCACGCACGCGCGCGCACACACACACACACACACACACACACACACACACACACACACACACACACACACAAATACAATAGACAAATGACAAAGAAAAAATTTAAATCAAATTCTTTTTAATTGTCTAAACTCTATTATTTCTTTAAAGACTTGCAAGTAAACAAACACATCACATCTAACTGCATATAAATTCACTACACTGATAAAAATCAAACTCTATCCAAATGACCCTGCTCCTGGCACCAAACCCTGTGAAAATACAAGGAGAAGCTGTTTCCCTTCCTGAACAGAGAACCCAAAAGACATTTCTGCAGTTGTGGTCCAGTCCTTCACTGTATAGATCAGACACTGAAGCATGAAGATGATGAAAACATTCAAAGCTACCCATCCTTAGCCTTCAGGTTTTCCAGCAGCAGGTGCACACCCAGCCACCAGTTTTCCGACAGCAGCCATGAAGGTTTGCTGTCTTCTGACATCAGTGGTTTCCAGGTAGAATCTGCACCTTGTCTACAGAAGCAGGGCTGAGGGACCATGTGCCCACACTAAAAATGCTCTTTGCTGCTCCGCACTCAAAGTTTCTATAAACTCCAGTTTCCACAATCCAACTGAGTGCCTGCTGGGCATAGCCCATGCTGTGTATTACATTCGATGGCCTTTGAACATGCTATGGACTTTCAGAAGTGAAGGCTCCAACCTTCTGTGAACCCTAGGATGAGGTGGGCATGTTCAGTGTCACCAAAAGAAAACACAAGTTCCTAAACATTTGCTTTCTCTGGAATTTATGTTTGAGAGGTCTTGTTTCTTATGTTAAATGATTAGGCTGTAAATCTCACAAACTGCATAAATCAGGTCTGACACTGTCCCTGTGTGTAAGGCCAGGGCCAATTTATGGCCAGGCAGGAGAGAACGGTGGACTTTGTTTATTTTACCAGCTGGTATTTGCACACAGGGCCTCGGGAGTGCTGACCGGGAAGACCAGGGGACTGCTAACGTAAATCCACCTGTGAACCTCACCCTTAAGGTTGAGAGTGGGGCCTCTGCCTCAGTGGCATGGGGTCTGGCGGAAGATGCTGCCAGACTGCAAGTCCAGTGTGACAACTCCCTGTCTTGCTTGGATTTCAGTGAGTCACTGCTACCGTAGAGAATTGGTTTAGGGCCTTCCCTCATCCTTAGGATTGTTTGTTTTTGCTGTGGGAAGCTGGAGATGAGTATGAAGACTGAAGACTGAGAATGTGGTTCAGTGGTACAGCTCTTACCTGGCATGTGTGGGGCCCTAGGTTCGATTCATGGAACATCTTTTTTCCCCCTTTGCTCTTTCAAGATATGGTTTCTCTGTGTAATTGCCCTGGATGTCCCAGAACTTGCTTTGTAGTCCAGGCTGGTCTCAGTTTACAGAGATCCACCTGCCTCTGCCTCCCAAGGGCTGGGACTAAAGGGGAGCATCACTACACCCTGCCTCTTTTTTTTTTGGATGGGACGTCTTATGAATTTTAAAATCATGAAAATTTGCCAAGAAGAGTCATCAACCATGTTGTCATTAAACATGCTCACAGTAAATCTTGTTACTGTAACAGTCACTCATTAAACACATCTTTAAAAGTGTTTCACACTTACTCATTTGTTTACATATGTTTTAATATTTACACATATTTGTGGGCACACATTGCCACAGCACACATATCGAAATCAGAGGGCCACTGTGGGAATCAGTTCTACCATGTGGGTTTGGGGAATTGAACTCAGGGCATCAAACTTGACGGCAAGCACCTCTTACCCTCTGAGTCATCTCAACAGCCCCATCACTAAACATTTATATATTCACAATATTTAATAAATATTACTATGTGGTAGGGACAACCTGCTATGGATCTTACAAAACAGTAGCAGGAGACAGAAATAACGCAAACACTGGGCCAAACAATGAACACTAGCTGGAAAGCTAAGTAGCACTATAGGGGGTAGTTTAGGGAGCAATGTGGTCAAGCATGTGCCTTGACAGAATGACCTCATTTATTTAATGTTTACCTACATATGTATATGTGTATCATGTGCATGCCTGATGCCCTCAGAACCAGAGGAGGTACTGGATCCTAAGCAACTGGAGTTACAGATGATATGTGAGCCACCATGTGTGCAGTGCTGGGCACGGAAACTGAGTTACCTGCAAGGGCAGCTAGTCCTCTTCATCTTAAAACCTGTTATCTAGCCCAGGCATTTAATGCCAGTGAAGGGAAAGGAATGGTTGTATCCACAACGAAGAACATGGAAGGCAGGGGACAGCCAGCTGAGAGGCTGAAGGAGGAACAAAAGTGGCATCTTTAAGAGAGACCAGGGCAGTTGGAGGGGAATGAGCAAGAGAATGCATTAAGAAGAGAACGAGATCAGAGAGATAGCTAGGGTCCAGTTCCTACAGGGCTGGTAGACCACCGGAACTCTTTAACTTTAGCTGAGGAAGAAATGGAGCATAAGGAGGCCTGAGCAGAGGGTGAAACAATGCATCCAGTGCTTTGGAGGCTTAACTGTGCCGGGAGTACAGAATGTCGGAGATCTGAATGTCTGAGGCAAGACAAGGAGCAGGGCCCATTACCATGCTATTACAGAGGCCACACCAAAGATAATGGCTGTGGGTGAGGAGCTTTCTCTGATGGCTCTGGCTGCCTCATGCTTGCTCACTGTATATTGGACTTACTTTGGGATAGGTGATGCCTACAGCCTAAGAGCTGGGGGTAGTGGAGGGGAAGGAGCAGCTCCTGAAGGCACCCCATGGTTCCCTTCAAGACGGGATCCAGGTGCATGCAGCCCACAGTTCCCATGTTCAGGTACTTCTGGCTCCAGGGAAGAGGGATGGAGACCTGCTCACCAGTGTGTGTTCCGAGACCTCACTAGACTTAATTAGAGCCACACTGGACTTCATAGTCAGGGGACAAAGAATGCCAGGGAGGGAGAGAACAGAGCTGTCCTGAAAACCCCGCCTCTGGTAAATTACTTTCCTGCCATGGTGGCCCATTGGGAAGAACACTCGAGAGTGATTACTGAGAAGGGGGACTGCAGGACAGTGAAGAATGGGGCCAAATGGGAGAGAATGGACAAATTAATGATTCGGGAAGATTTTTTTTTTCTTTTAAGAGTGGTGTCCAGCCTGGCCTCTCTGATTTGATCAATCTTTCACTGTCAAGAGAGCCTGAGAGATGGATTCAATTAAGATTAGCGAGGCAGGAAAATGGCACAGGGGGGCTTCTGATGGTACTGTCTTCTCTCTCATCTCTGGGTGTTGGTGGCCTTGACAAGTCTCAGGAAGGCAACACAGGCATCAGAGTGGAGCTGGTGTGCCCTGCTGCAGAGGAGGCCTGTGTCTCTCTATTTACTTCTGAGTCAGCTCCCATGTGTCCCTCTCGTATGTCTTTCTCATAATTACTGACTTCTGAAGGGACACCAAGGTGTTGGGAGCCACTGTTATCTGGGAGGGTCAGTGCTGGGTATAATTCCTTGAAGCAAATAAATGTAATTGGAGTCTCATTAATTCCTAGTGATGCCCTGGTGCCCTTGCTGCTGTGTCAGGGGCAGCAGAACTGCCCTAGAGATGGAGGAGACCACGGAAACAGAGTCAAGAAGCCCAGACTCTAATAGCTAGAGCACAGAGTGGGGTGGAGAGGGAGTATGCCTTTTCCCCAACCACCATTGTGCCAGGATTCCACAGTCACCCAGTGGGTGGATTTCTATCCCAAGGGCCTTTGCTCAGGGAAGCCCCAGCAACTGTCTCAAACATTCGTGCCTTGCAAATTGCCATCACCTCCAAATTGGTATTCGGTCCTTGTTGCTGGATGAGTTTAATGAAAGTGGTACTTTCCATGAGGTCCCTGGTGGAATTAGTTCACATTACAAAATCATTATACATAATGTGACTCTATTGTGTGCCGTTAGCTTAGGGGAAAAGCCTGTTTTACAGCTCTTGGAGACAGAGGTCCCTCCAGATAAGCTAGGGCTTCCGAGAGAGGGAAGAACGGCTCCCTCTGGTTAATAATAAGAGAACCTCAATGCTCCAGGCAGCCACTGACTTTCCAGTAGGCAAGATGGATATGTAGTCCCCGTGGAGAAAATAGCCAAGTAGAATAGACAGTGGGCTGGACCCTAATACCCCAGGGCACACAGTTCATTTGTCCCTTAAAAATCTCTCCTGACACCTCCAATAGCTAATTGATGTTTCATTCTGGCACATCCTACCCTGATATTTGGCACAACTTTCTGTGTGCTGTTCCGGGCTACTCTACACTGTTCCATGCTGCCCACACAGGATTGCCTTATGCATGGTCTGGACAAGGGAAATCTCACAGGTTGTTAGAAGTTAACAGATTTCCACAATTGTTGTTAAGCAGCATAGGCCACTGGGTCTCTTTGTCCACTGCTTATATATTAATCTTTCCCCAGGATTTGCAAAAGTGCTTGGCCAAATGACAAGCACCTAAGAGTCTACTTGTTGAACACATAATGACCAATTTGCTATCAGGAGACAAGGCCACACGAGCCTAGCGATAAGTAAGAGGAATATGGTCATGAAGATGGGGCAATAAGTAGATAAATTAAGCCTACTAATACGTGAATAGGTAGGACAGGAACATGCCTGTCCTTATAGCATGAGGAGGAGACACTAGAGGTCTGACTCTAGACAGCAAGAAGCCACATACTTAGTCTAGACAGCAAGAGCATCCCCACCTGAAGCCACCATGCCATAGTGCATGGGTGGACATCAGAGGTCAACCTCCGGTGTCAGCACTCACCTTCCACTAATCTCTTTGGGGTTCGCTGCCACATAGCTCATCCTAGATGGTATGTGAGCCTCTGTGGAGTCCCCTGTCTCCCTTGCATCTCACTGCAGGCACACTGCTATCACAGAAATGCACTGCTGCTCCTGACTTTGAGCCCTGGAGATTCTGACTCTGGTCCTTGCTTGCTTAGAAAGCAAATTGTTGGCTGAGCCATCTCCAGGGCTCCAGGTGCAAGTTTTATAGAATATTTTCAGTGGTTTGTTGAATGTGCTCTTTCAGAACACATGGATATATTGTACACTCACCATCAGCTACTAGCATCCTTTCTTACTTAAAATAAAAACAAAAACCAACTTACCTCCCCCCCCCATCTGACTTCCAAAGGTGCTAGCCGCAGAGTCAAATAGCCCACAGTGATCTTCCCATGGGAACGTGTAGGCCCAGATGTCATCTTCGACTCATCTCTCTATTTTGAACAATTTGGTGTTCTACCTCTCTGGACCCCACCTCTTGATGCCAAACACCCAGCTCTTTTCCCACCCTTCCAGAGTCTCCTTTATTTCAGAGAGTGACAGTGATTACAGTTTTCCCCTGGACTACTCTTACATTATGCTCTAGATCAGACATCTCACCCACTCATTGCTGCAGCTAATGAGGCTTTCCTAGAGCTGTGATCACATCCCTGCTATGCTGAATAGCCTTGGAGTATCTTTACTACCCTGGGATGGACCTGGGTCTACCCTCCTCCGAGTCTACCCTCCTCCAAGTCTACCCTTGACTTTCTAGCTTTTACCTATGCTCCTCTATTACCCAAACCCACACCCCTCAGTCCTTCTTTTGGCCAGCTCCTGCCCAGTCTCTTGAGAAGGAATTGCTTGCACAGACCTTACAGGCTGTCACTGAGACACACTTGAATGCCATTCAGCTCTTCGGGTGCAATCTGCCAAGACTCCTTGGAAAGGCTGTCAGTCTCTGAGATATGAAACCCATTTGTTGTAAACTCTCCTCTTGGATCCTTCTTCATCCTTCTCCAGGTCCCAGGATTTCCTTTCCAGTTGTTCAGATTTCCTTCGAGCTATGGGAGCTGAAGCTACTGTCTCATTCACAAATGAATTCAGTGATTCCATGTCTGTGAGACCAGCACACCACAGGAAACACATATGAAACACATATGAAATCAAAGAAGGAAGGAATGGCTAAAATAGCATGTTAACAATAGAAGAGGTCCCCAATGGGTCAGCTCCACCATCTTTCACTACTAAGGGTCAGCCACAGAGAGGGCATGGCCCTGGGTCACATGATGAGCATGGCTGTCCGACACAGAATATGTAGATGTTTGGCACTTGGACTGAAGGCAGACTGGCAAACATTAGGGAATTTTCTGACCTGGAAGTGGACAGCATCTTCCCCAAAAGCATCATTGGATAATGCAGACTTCAGCAGCTGCAGGTCCATTCCTGCTATTCCAGGGAACAGGATGTAGGCTGGATGAGATTTCTAACATTGTCAGGCACTGGGAATTCGAAAGTCACAGATGATGGCAGGATCCCGCCTGTTTCCTAGACAAAGACAAATGTTCTTGGAAAATTCCCGAAGGCATGGACTCTCTCTCTACCTGTGGTGATAAGTCTGGCCTAAGTCATGCAAGAGAACAAGAATCCAACATAGTTCCTTTGTGTTCCAGAATGTTCTCAGGGACACATCATTGAGGACAGACTAGACATTCCAAATGTTGCAGAGACACCAGTCTCTGAACCAGAGACTAACTCCACCCACAATGTCTTTCCCCTCCCATCCTCAAGACCCCATCCCCTGCAACAAAGAGGAAGAAATGTTCACTCTATTCTATAGCCAAGAGAAGGAGATGATGGTAGGCTTGCTGGGATGTGCCTGTCATTCAGCACTTGGGAGACAGAGGTTGGAGGATCTTGAGTTTGAGAAAAGCTTGGGCTATAAAATGAGATATGCTTCAAAAGTAGAGGAGAAGAAGACCTGGAGACAGGAAGGGAAAGAGACAGATTTTAAAAAGACCATAGACCCATGCAGAGACTGGTGGTAAGACTCTAACCAGCTTTTGATTTGAAGGAGGATAAATGAATCATTCAAAAAGAACCTTGAACTAGAGAAAGAAGGTGTGAACATGCACTTTGTTCCTCCTTTCTCCCTCTGTCCTCTCTTTCTTCCACTTTCCCTCCCTCTCCCTTCCTCTTTTTGTGTCTCCATCAGAGCAGACTTCTTGGGGCCCACAATAGAGGCTCACCTTGAGAATGCAGCAGCAATCAGTCCATGGTCACGCTGAGAACCATGAGGCCTTTAACGCAAATGTTGTTCCACATAGCTGCATTAATTTTCCTCCCAGCATTCCCTTCTCTCAGACATTAAGTGTTGTGGACAGCCCCATCTTTTAGGACACAGAATCTCTGAGAGAGCTAGAATCTTACAGATGTCCCTCTTTGGGGTCCAAGGCTTTCTTGTGGGCTCTAGGAGAAGCTTGCCAGCACAGCTCTGGAAACCCCCAACAGTCTCAGGATGGGACCTCCTCCTCTGGTGCCCATACCATCCACTCCCAGCTGATTTCTGGTGTCAGGAGGTTGCTTTGATGATGAGGGTCCTTTTCTTATGAACAAAAAGGTGACCCTGAAGGGGCTGAAAGTTGCTCTTGTGTAGGCTTGTCTGGGGGACTCCACACCCAGCTTTGGAGATTCCTGATAGGCAGAGGGGAAGGGACACACCCCTGTAGGATGCACAGAGCCCAAAGACACAAAGATCAAACTCCACATTTCCCCAAAATCTTCCTGCTCTGGAAACTCACAAGGACTCTAGTCTCTGTAAAATACGAAACCAAGGTTTCAAATGACTTGCCTTGCAATGAAAAAGATGACCATAGTGTGTGCTCTGGCCATCCATACTCTCAGAGAAGGATCCTCCATTGAGACCATCTGGATGAGTTCAGTGATCACCTATTCTTGGCAAGATCCAGTAGCAAAACTTAAGTCATAGAGAGGTGAAGTGATTTGCCCGAAGCAACACAGTAAGTCAGTGTCTATACTCTCCTGTATCCTACACAATGGTTAACAGCCCAGTCAGTGTGGCTGGGAGCTGTAGGCATAAAGCTACACAGTGCAACGCAGGTGCTGGTACCTCAGGAATGGACAATGTCCACACCACTTCTTTGTGCTTCAATTTCCAGATTATGAAGCAAGGATGGTGGTGGTATGGACCCCAGGATCCAACATGTGGATCGAGATCATGCTTATGCTAGCACAAGGTCTTTGCTCAATAAAACTTAACTTTCAGTGCTTACACAAAATACTCCCACATTCATCTGAAGCTTGTGACAAGCAATGCCAGGGAAGAGACCCAGGAAAGCCTTCTGTTGCCTACATGACTTAGTGTCAAGCTTACCTGAGTTAATGCCCATGAATATGTACAACAGAACAGAGCAAGCGGCCTGGCATGAAATGGGCACTCTGAGAAAACCATCGCTGTCCCTTCAGAGAGCTGGGTCTGCACCTAAGTGTGTGTGACTCTAACTGATGTGGCAGGAATGACTTCCTGTTTGCCCACACGACTGGGCTTCTGGAAACTGCTGTCTTCTCATGCAACATTGCTTGGTTTTTGTCCTAGTATCATCTGAGAAAGGAGGGACATAGTTGTTCAAAGTGCCATGGGGAGGAGAAACTTCTTAATTCTGTCAAGTTGACTTTTCCCCTCCAAGATTGCTGGAGCCCCTCTCCTGGAGGCAGCAAGGCTAGCCAGGCTCCCAGGGCCCTCTGGCTCCATTCAAAGTCTCCTTTCTCAGCTTTGGCACTTTTATGGCCCTTAATGACCTCCTATTGTGCCCTGATTGGCAATCAGGGCACACGTAATGACCAAGCAGCATCACTTAGCCCTTATTCTGATGACAATGGCCAGAGTGGCCAGCTAGCTGTTTTGACATGAGCGGGGTCACAGGGAAAGATTTCAAGCCAGTGACATAAAGATCACTGACCAGCCAGTACCCTGGACGCTTCAGTTGCCAGGGCTTGGACAAAAGAATGAACTCTGAACTTTTCCTTTGACAAATGGAGGTCATTAAAACTGTGGTGGGGGCCCCTTCAAAGGCAGGTGTAGACCACGATGTCCCTCAAAGTGCCTAATAAAGAGAGAACAGACGATTGTGTGAGATTCGGAGGAGGGAACTTCTGAGCGATTCAGTGAAGTGGTTCAAGAAGTGACAGAGCTTGGGAGGAGGGTTGACAGGGGCCAGAAGTGCCTGGCCAGCCCACTGCCACCCATTCAATGGGTGGCTGCCCCGATTGTTCCTAAGCAGAGGCCAGCACAATAAACGCTTCTGAGCCTTTTCAGGGGTACCCTGGCTTCTAGGGCCTGGGGCTGGCAAGAAAATCCAGAGAAAGCATTGCCACCAACTGGCATTCTCAATTGGAACTATTTTCATAAAGTGCCGAGAGGCCTCCAAGCAGCTTAAAATCTTAAAGGTTTAGTTTATACACCTGGAAGATAACATCTAATTGCTAGATATTGCTCCCAGTAACGTATATGTAATGATATCAATCCCACCTCCCACCAGCAAACCCCAAACCACAGCTCTACCTGAAAACCTCCATCTCTACAGAACATAGGGCATCCTGCAAACTCCCAACATGGATTCCAAACAACATAGCTCATTCTTTGCTCCCATTTCCATCACCCCATAGCCAGCTGGGGCCACATGCTGCCCCTGGAGGGGCAAAACCAGAAGTTCTGACCTCCTGGAAGTCAACAGGACCAGCAAACTAAATAGATTGCCTGCAAATGATCTGAGTCATAGAAGTTCAACCATGAAGGGAAATGAAAGCTTAGGGGATTTAGCCTCCTGTGTGTGTGTGTGTGTGTGTGTGTGTGTGTGTGTGTGTGTGTTCAGAAGGTGTTTTTGCTTTTCACAAAAGACTCAGGAATTTTAATCCCCAAGGTCCTGTGTGAGAGCTTGGATGGATTTGGATGAGTTGGAAGCTGGGTCTTGGGGGAGAAGTGCTCTGAATGCATCATTAAGAACATTTGCTGGACACATCACACATGCCTGCTCAAGATGCAGAATTCCTTACCTGTGTGAGGGTTATTAATGGCAACACCATCAGATGAGAAGGCAGTGGACAGGAAGCCACAAAGCACAGATGAAACAATTGTGGAGACAAATAAATGGAGGTTCCACCTCCCCAAAATGTGCCCTCAAGGCAGAGTCACATCCTTCGAATTGTCCAAGGACAAACCATTATGGGTTCTTGGGCAGACGGTGTCGCCAGGGCTGAAGGAAAAAGTAATGACTCACGATCCTGGGGAGGGGCAAACGAGCACTTAGACCTCTTTCCAAGGAAAGCAACATTCCCCTCACTGGGCCACAAATGTCAAGACTGGGGAGGCTTTAGTGGGAGAAAGGATGCTCTTCTTTCTAGCAAGTCTAGAAACATGGTCTGAGTCACTAGGACAACTCACTACAACGCATGTCATAAACATCTTCAGCACAGAGGAAGGAAGCAATGCCTTCTCTCTACCCTCAGAAGATCCAAATGGGGTCTCGGCAAGTCACCAGGAGAAAACCTGTTTTGATTACAAGCAAATGCAGAACATCCTCTTATCCAGACAGGACCCCAGCAGATACCTGATGCATGGCAGCACTTTCTACAAAGCACATAAAGCTGATAAAGTTAGGCATAGCAAGGGACCAGCACCGATAAGCAATAACAGAATAGAGCAGTTGCTTATTGCAATCTGCTATGTTGCTTAACTTCTTAACTATTCTGAAGTTTTCCACTTACTATTTTCAGAGCATGGCTAACTATGAGTAACTGGGTCTGGCAACAGAGAAGGCACACATAAGATGACCACTGCAGACCTCCCTGGGCTATGGAAATGACTAGGGCTATCCATGTGTCCTTGACTTCTCAAAATAGCCAGCCCAAAAATTGCAAAGATATATACTTTAAAATGTCACATTTTTATGCATTTGTACTTTGGGGGTGCTATGCCTTGAGCCCCAACAGATGAAGATGACCTGCCACCTTCATTGGAACAGTAAACAGTAAACAGATAACTCAAGTAATGAGTATTATTATCTGAAATGCCACAAAGGATAACCAAGGGTGCCCTGAACACCTGAAGATCTGCCCTCATCTGGAGGGTAGGAAAGACTGGGCAGAGGTTCCCTGGCATAGGGCACCAGAAAGAGCACCGAGACAGACTGAGACAGCCCAGGCAGGAAAAGGATGTCTACAGAGGGCTTGCCATGAGAGACAGTGGCTTAGAATTTCCCAATGAGGAACAAAATGACCAACCAGATAGCAAGAAACTTCCATTCCCAGCCACCTCAGTTTCTCTGCACACTTTAAACATCAGAATCCGAGCTGAACTAGAACAGCAGGGACACCCTAGGCAGGAAATGGAGGGATGGGCTACCATGGGCTAGTGTGTTTACAACTTTGCTATGTGGATAGAGGAGGAACAGAAGAGGGGGGGAGATGAGGAAGAGGTGCAGGGTGGAGAAGGAAGAGAAGATGAGAAAGAAGGAGAAAAGATGAGGGAAGGGAGAAGGGAAATGATGAAGAGGAGGGGGGAGGAAGACAGGGAGGAGAAAAAGAAATTGAAAAGAAAGTTTGACTGTGAGATTCCGTCCTCCTAGGTGTTGAAACAGAAGCATCTAGAAACTTCTAGAAAATGGAAATACGCCCAATTCTTAGGTGTATTCAACTGTCCTGGGTGAAAACATCCACCAGCAACTCCGAGATGAGCTCACCCATTGCCACCTCTCAGTCTGCAACCAAACATAGAATACCATTCCTGTTTAGCAATAGCCTGTACCTGGCCCTTCGAACCACCCACTTCTGAGCATGTTAGTGGAAAATCATCCTTCGTTATAACCAGCACTAACTCATCATCTGTACAAGTTGTGTTGAGTGACATAAGCCCACATCCCACTAAACTAAAGGTTTGTTTGGATCAAGATGGAGAGATACTGATCCAGGCATGGAGACACATAGCCATGATCCCACCACTTAGAAGACAGAAGCAGAAAAATCATGAGTTCAAAGCTAACCTGGACTACCTAGAGATTCTGTCTTGAAAGAAAGAAGGAGAGAACGAGAGAGAGAAAGGAGAGGGGAGAAGGGAGAGGGAAGAAAGGGGAGGAGAGGGGAGGAAAGGGGAGGGGAGGGGAGGGGAGGGGAAGAAAGGAGAGGAGAGGAGAGGAGAAGAGGGGAGAGGAGAGGAGAGGAGAAGAGGGGAGGGGAGAGGAGAGGAGGGGAGAGGAGAGGAGAGAAGACTGTAGAAGACATGGGTTTTCCCAAGAGACTCCCATTTCTGAGCCACATAGGGTAGACAGCCTCCATCACACAGGACCCTGTGTGTCTCTTTTGGAAGAGCGTCTGTGTGGTGTCTGCTCAGAGCAGTTTGCATTTTTCCAGGAAATGTCTCCGTTAAATATGCAAGCATGTTTAATTGCGGAGGCTCAGGCAACTTGTTTATCTTCCTTGCACACTGCCAGGGTGGCTCTCGTTTGTTATCTAGGGTGTGAAATGAACGCTGACAACAATTAATACCTCCTCCCAGGCAGCTCGGCGGCGCTCTGACGGGAAGCCGTGTACTTCCGAGCAGGCAGCTGAGGAGGTGGTGGGCCTGGCTGTCACTCAGGATCCAAGGGGCAGAAGAGTGACAGTGGCAGCTGACAGCCCCTCCTGCCGCCTCCGGAGAGGCCCCCGTGATAAAGCGTCCTGCTTTGTGGTGTAATCAACTTGCTTTACATGCCTTACTTCCTAATGAGCGCCGTGTTTAAACAAGTGTATAGAACACATCTGTCCGGGCCTTGGGACTTGAGGCTGTGTGACCAATTTCAGCATCTGAAAGTTAAATTAATGGTAAAGGGTTTAATTGTGAGTAAACAATACCGCATTAAGGAGCAGTAAACACAGCAGTGGGGACCCACCGACTGGCTCTGGTATCACAGATGTGGCTGCCGCTGTGTGACCATTAATAGTCCTCCCCGCCTGGACTCTCTGACAGCGCCTGGAAGCTCATTTGTCATCTAAATGGTCCATCCCCTTCTCAAACATAATTTTGGCTCATGGTCCATTTGGGGGGCTGGTAGGATATGTTCCTTGGAAGATGGGCCAATTTTTTTTTTCAAAGCAAATGGGAAAAGTTCTGGTTTCTCAATGGAGACCCGAAGTGGGTAGGAGGCACCATGGCCTCCTACTCTAAACCAACATGGGTCCCAAGGACTGAGTCTGGCTTAGACTGCAGGCTTTGATGGCAGTGATTCCAAAACTGGCTTTTAAACACCATAGGGTGTCTCTAACAAACAAAGGATGCCTCAAAACCAAATTAAGTTCCCTTAATTAAAGATCATAAAATACACCACAGAACATTCTGTTACAGCAGGGGGGAAGGAAGTGACTGTCACATAAAATAAACAAGGTTCTGCCATCCCAAAATTAAGAGTTAACACAACAAGGTCTCAGCACCTTCCTGGTTTGTTGGGGAACCAGGTCTGGCTGTCAGTGTGCTGGGTTGACTCGTCTAGAAGGACACGGGGCTCCCCAAAGGTATGTGCTCTGAGTGCTCCTGGCCCTGGGGAACATAGACTGTCCCCTGTCATTTCCTCCATCATCCATCAGGATAGGCGACATTTTGGTGGTCAGATCCTGGGAAAGGGTCACAGGAGCACATGACACTCCATGGTCCTGAGGTGATCTCCCTGGGCACACTCAATGCTTTCTCCTGTGGAGGGCTGGAGCTGGTGCTATTATCTCCCCTGGATGCTGAAAATGTACTCACTTGGATGAAGTTTCCCTGTAAGTAGAGATTGCCACCAGCCCAAGAAATGGGCGCCTAACTGTCAAGATTAATATCCTAGGTCCCCATCATCTCTCTCCCTTTAAACGTGGTAGTCTGTGGCTTCCAAGAAAACTATCCTCCAGGATACACAACCTCTAGGTTCTGAATCCCTTCTTGAACCTCAACATACTCATCTGTGAGATGGGAACATCAGTCAAGTTGCTGAAAGAATCAAGTGCCTTCATGTATAGGGAGGGCACCGGTCAATGTATGACAGGGTGGAAGTTCCGCAAATGTGACAAGCTATGACAGCACCTCTTTAAATAAAACCCGATGATGCCAACAGCTAAGACACACAGAGAGACAACTGGAGCCCCCATTGGGTCAAAGAAACAACTGGGCTGAGCAGGGCCACCATGTCTTTGGCATTGCTTGGCCTATCTGCCTTGCAGCTATGTGCACACAACACCCATAGTCTCCGGATATCTGCTGTTGCATGTGCAGTGAGTCGGGTATGGGACAGCTGCTGCACACACTGCTCAGAGCTCCGGACAACTCCTGCTGGCTCCTGTCAATGGGGGAAGTCACTGCCATCTCTCAAAGCCAGCTCCCAGTCACAACCAGCTATGGAGAAAACTCTCCCAAAGGGTTGGTCTATATCATGTATTGCAAATACCAGCAAGCACGTTTCTAACAACTCTCTGGCCAGAGAGGGTTTCTACATGTGGACTGCATGTATAAATCCATGCATGTCCCACAAACTCCAGAACCTCTAAGTAGGAAGGGCCTCTTGATGATAGACTTACAAGGAAATAGATGCCTGGGATCTGAGCACTTCCATGCAGCAATGGCTTGGGCAGAAGGTGAGATAAAGCCTCTTCCACCATCCTTCCCTCGCCATCCAGGATGACTCTTTGTCCCTTTGGCATTGCACTAGTTTGCTTTCCATTGCTGGAATTAACACTGGGATCAAAGCAACTTGAGGAGCAAAGGGTTTATTGTAGCTTAGAGTACAGTTCATCATCAAGGGATACCAGGTAGGGACTTGGAGCTTGGAGGCAGGATCTAAAGCAGAAGCCACAGAAGAAAGCTGCTCTCAGGCTTGCTTCAAGCTGGGAGTCAGCTACTTTTCATACACATGCCAGCACCACATGCCCAGGGTAGCACTGCTCATAGTAGCCCGGGTCCTCCTGCAGCAGTCATTAGTCAAGAAAATTCCCCCACAAACTTGCTTACAGGCCAATCTGATGGAGGCATTTTCTCAACTGAGGTTACCTATTCCCAGGTGACCCTGCTTGTATCAAGTTGACAAAAACAAACAAAAAAAAAGAAAGAAAAAGAAAAGAAAAGAAAAAACTAACCAGCATAGGTGACAATGCCCAGATGGTCTGATCTTAAATAGAGTCTCATATACCCAGCCTTGTCACACAGACTAGGTCATGTAATTTTACCAACACGCATGCACACACATGTACACACACACACACACACACACACACACACACACACACACACACAGCGTGTTTGCAACCTGAGTTTTGCTGTCCTTGTCTCTTGGCTTCCAGGACCTTGTCTTGAGGACTATCATCTGAGTCTCCCAGCTTCTCTGACCTCTGGGTCCCTGAGATAGAGACTAGGTAGGCTGGCACTTTTTTACCCCTGCCATCTCTCTGCTGGCCCTGGGAAGAGGGTGGAAGTTGGCTTTCCCATGGTAACTGGTAACCGTGCAACCCATGCCAGAGCCCCTCTGAGGCAGGGGGAAACTTGGAAGCCCTCTACCCGGTGATCTCCAAACAGTTGTCTCTCTGCGAGATTCTAACTTCAGATGAAATCATTGAAAGGGGCCCAGAGCAGCTGCTGGGACACAGTGGCAGGATCCATGCTTGCCACCTGACCCTGACATCCGGTCTCTCCTTACTCCCCACTGTCTATCTGCTTCAGTTCCTCATAGGAGGAGAATAGGCTGAAAACTACTACACTATACTTTATTTCTTAGTGAAGAAGACTGAGGACCAGAGAAGTATACAGACTTATAGAGAGTAACACAGCAATCAGCAGACAGATACTTCATTTTCTGAAGAAATGGCTGACCCCATTGTTCTCCATAGTCCAAGGATGGCCTGGCCCCAAGTCTTGCCTGATGGATTCCCAGGCTACCTTTAAAGAAATCTATTTGTATTTTCCTACTTTCTTCTGTCTTAAAGACATGGCTGCCAGATACAGTCCTAAATAGCCAGGAGCGATGTAGCCCATCGAGGGAATGGAAGCTGTTCCCTCTTCCTCTGCTGCTTTAGTTGCCTTTAAAGCCCATTTTCACCTTTATTGATTTTAGTTTTCTGCTGGTCTATGAATGACAACTTGAATTAAGACAATGTAGGCTGAGAAGTCACCAGTCTGAACTAAACTGACACCCAGGGCTTCGAGGCTGAGTACCCCCTGACCCCACAGCATCCTACCCATCATCCTCTTGGGGGGCTGGGACGCATAGAAGAGGCTCCCTGAATGCCTGATATGTGTCTGCCCAAGTCTGTACAGAATTCTGAGGTGTAAGCAAGCTGGGACATGTCACAGCTAGCCCTCCTTGAAGCCTCTTTGCTGACCCACTGTTTGATGAGGGACTGTGTATTTATCCCACTGGGCAGCAAATCTGAGCCCCATCCCTCTAGCCCAGCCAGTGGCACACCTGACTCAGGTCAGCCCAGAAGCTGCCGTTCTCTCAAAGCACCTTGCTTTGCACAAACCTTTGACGGGCAAGCCTGAAGTGGCATTAATGCTACAGCTGTTCTGTACTGTGAACTTGAAAAACAACATAACCTTCATAAGCTAGAACTTACACGTTCACAGCCCATCTTAAGACATGATTGAGTAAGCTCATGATCTGAGGACAGCCAGTGCAGTACCCACTGTTAGCACAGACAAACCCTAACCAGAGGGGAGGCACCCCAAGAACAGAATCCCACCTTTTAGACATGAAATGAAGAAAAGAAGGAAAGAATTTGAGACAGGCCAAAATGTCAACATTTGGGAGAATTTTTAATGCCTTTTGGACTGATTTCTAAGTATATGAATTTATAATCAAGTAAAAATATTGCTGTTTTCATGGTGGACTTGGATGACACACCAAGAAGCCCTGGATGATTCTGAGGTTGCCCTGTTCTGTCTGCTGGAAGGAGTGCTCCATGTTTCTGAGGTTGCCCCAAACCTGTTCTGTCTGTCTCCTCACTGCTGCGGCAACAGCCATCCCCTACTGCCTGCCTTGTTCTGGCTCTGGGGAGACT